TGTACAGACTTAAAAACATAAAACCAACACATATAACCCCAAGTTTGCTACCCTTACCATAATACAACTAAACTACCAAATCAAGGATGGATTTAGGGAGAAGTAACCAGTGTGTTAGTTGGTGCAGTACTGAATGAACATAACTGGATCAGTGGTGCTTAGACTTAAATTCTTTTTGACTTTGAAATGCTGGCATTTGCTGCAGTCCCACGTCAGGGTAAGTGGACACACATTAAAGCTAAGAAATTCTAGCCCAGACTTGAATGAAACTTGCTGAGTGCAGGACTACATACTTGGGATTGCTCATGGAGCCCAGGCTAAGCCCTTTAATGAAAAAGCAACTGACTTTGTGAAGCAAAACCTGTTTCCCCACTCATCGTGGGGAGTTTGTAATGCACTTGGACATCACGAGCTGGAAAACCTTCTGACACACTAAGCATTTTTGTGACTGTTCAATCCCGGACTCAGTCTAAACAACCATTGGGTGGTGGTCAAATCAATATTTACAATGGAAAATCTTGTGCAAAAGGACAAATTACATTGTGTATGCACTGCTGCTGCTTGTTTTGTAATATCACGGGATGGCTCTTGGGAAGACGGTTGCAGACATGAGATAATGCTCACTCAACGAAGGGAGTGTGGGGGGGAGTTTATCACCTTCCCTTCCACTTTGCAAGGGCACAAGTGCTCAACAGCTGCATCTAAGGAAGAACTGTTGTGAAATTTTAAGCCGAAAGCAGCCCTTAGAAGAACTTCTTGGGAAACTGCTGAACTTTAACCTTCCCAGGATAAGAATGTTAACATAAATGTGAATGGGAAAGCTTTCAATGCACTGATAGACGTGAGAAATGCTTTGTCTTTAGAGAAGGGCTGCACAGCCCTTCTTGTGTCTGAACCCCTTGTGAGGAAGGGAGACGTGAGAGACAGTGACTGTTTTGCCAAGCAGCAGCTAAAGATTTCACTGTGGTCACTGCTCAATTCAGCAGCCACAGGGGGATTCAAAACCAAAGATAAGCCCTTATTCTAGGCACAGAAGGGATGTGGAGAAATGCATCCTCTCTGCTCCCTGCAGGAGCCTGTGTCAGCTATTTAACCACAGCTCTTGTCAGCATAGGCCCTAAATTTAATGTATGTTTGCCCAGTCTGTGTGCTGCGTCCTCAACGTACCGTTTCTCAATGCTGACATCTTTGTTCCCCACCCACGCAAGCTAACACCACCATGCTATAATGGTGGGTTTAAGCTTTTAAAACCAGCATTTTATTCCAAGAGCAACAGCATTTTGTAGAGTGATAGACTATCAGCAACAAGCATGACTCCAGAGGACAGGGCACTCTACCAGTGCCAGGAGTGCCGCATTCTTCCACAGTATGTGCCACGAAACAAAGGCTTCCCTAGAGCCCGAAGTGTTTGGTAGAGGCCTGGCCCAGGCCTACACAACCTTTGCCAAAGATGACTTATCCTTCTCAGTCTTAGCTGAGGGCATACTTAAATTTGCTGGCAGCCTCATTCAGCGGCAAGCACAATTTCATTTCGTATCTTACTGCTTCTTTTATCCAATTCCTACTTTGGTCTACAAAACAGACTGCTTCTGCGTGCAAGGCATCCTTGATGCTCCCAAGCCCCCCAGATGTCACTGGTTTGTTTAAGTATTTTATTTGCATAAAGACAATGAATTCCAGTTCTTCAGTCACAGCCTTACGCTAGCAAAGGTCTGACATCAGAGTTATCCTGGAAAAAGTCAATGTTTTCTTTGAAATGGAGCAGAAGCCCATTTGGCGAAAGGGGCTGTTTCCTGAAACATCACACATCCAAGATGAAAGCAAAGCTGTCCGTTCTCCAGAGCTGTCAACAGGAGTAGCTCTGTGGTCCCATGCTGCTGTGGATCACCAGTTACCAGTAGTAAGACACATCTGCAGGCTTCCCTCTAGCTAAGAGAGAAGCTTTCAACTCAAAAGTTTTCATGTGCAGAGATCATGTTTTAAGAGATGCTGCCCCCAAAAGACCTTCCCATCTAATCAATACAGCTCCAGAGGAATCTGATCCACTACAAGAAGGGGCAGAGATCAGCAAGGAAAAGATTAGCAAGATGAGATTTAAGAAAGGATGTGGAAGTGGAAGTCAGCTTACTGTACACAGAAGGGGCAGCTGCTGCAATCAGCAAGAGCGGCACCAAAGAGCCAAAAGTGAAAAAGACAATTTAGAGGCTCAGGTGGCAGTCTGCTAAGCACTGCATCCATCCAAGCGTGTGCTTATGCCACAGAATATAGCGCACAGGAAAACTCAAGATCCACTGCAGGATTTTTTATTATCTCAGACCTCAGATTAAGACAGTTACAATTACAAGATCCGCTCTGTTGTGGAGTATATCACTACCACTATTATCACAAGTACTTTTCTCAAATTGCATCTGAAACTCTAAGTACTGAAAAATCTCACAAGCTGTCCTCTTCCTGCTATCAAGATAGACTTTTTTTTTTTACGAACTTGGTTAAATTGAGCTTGTTATACCATTTTCTCCCATGTTTAATAAGACAAACACTTTGATCATACCTTCCTAGACTACAGTCTGAACGAGAATCTCAAATTCTCATGAGCCTCACGTTAGGTTGCTGAAAGGCAGTAAAGCACAAGATTTGCACTGCAATGTACTTAAGTCATTTTAATAGCAGCAAGATGAAGCTCAATTAGAAAACACTCTTAAGGCAACTCTGATCCCATGTGTTAAAAAGCTCTGGATGAAGTTGGCCTCACTGCTGCAGGCAAGCTACCTGCTTGCGTGCGTGTGCACACACATTCCATCACTCCTTGACCTGTGCAGTCTGCCAAAGAGGCAAGGAGGGCTTGGTGCAGGCACCAGTCTCAGGTCGTCTGGATGAGCAGCCACCTTCAACTCTGCAGCTCAGGTGAGGAAAACACACTGCTAGCTGTTGGAAGCTGGAAATCAAAGTGCTGTCAAGTAACACAGAACAGTTACAGCCACGCCACGAAATAAAAGCTTTTTCCCTCCCCAAGTCACCTGGTGTTGCTAGTACTACCAGCTTCACTCACTAAAGTAAAAGGAACAACTGAAAAGAAGTGGCTAGACTTCACAGAGAGCATTATCAGCATTCACCAGTGTATTGAAACATGAAAACATAATTGATGTACTACCCTGTAACCAGTCTTACACAGTTCTGTCAAGTCTATCGACAGGGTACCAAAAATTACTCAGTTTCTCTATCTCCTATGCTGCAAGACCTTAGGGTGACAGAGCTGAATTCTGGTAAGACAAGTTACATCTTGCATATTGCATATTCAAGGAAGTTAAATAAAAGAAGACTCTTGAGAGCAGTCAGTTACACCTAAAATCAAAGAAATTCTGCTTGCAGAAGCAGCAGCAAGGTTGCCTTATACTCAGCTATGAGATGGCCATGAGGAAATCCACACAGGAATTGAAAATATCACACAGGAATCAAAGAAAAATGAGCTAGAATGAAACACAGTCATCCCCTGTCCCCTAAACAGCACTGGCAGATAGGAGCATATTAGAAAGACAACATTACAGTAACACAACTATTTCTGTCTAATGCAATTCAAAGCTTACTCATTCTTTCAGTAAGAAAAAAAAAAGTATTAAAAAAAGCTGTGAAATATTTATTGAGTAAAACCAGAAAAGTTTCCACATTCCAGCATGAATTCTCTGCTTTTTCTAAACCAAACAGATACTGCCCAGACCTACAAGCAAGTACGTGGTGCTGTAACACCAAGACCTATGTCTTCCAGCAAGATTAACAAATACATGCACTGTAATGTCTCCATAACTATCCTCACTGTCAAGTGTTTTGTTCAGGCTCTTGACTGTGGAGCACCTTTGACTTGTTGCTAATAAGCACTGACTACTTTTTGAAGCATCTTTAGGCTTTTTAAGTCTGTTTTAAAACCTTCCCTGCTCTGATTCTTACAGCCAGGGTTGTCCTAATTTTATTAGGCTGGAACCTTACCAAGCTTATCTACAATATGCAATACAACATGATGCAGGTAATCCTTAAATTTGACCATGCTTCTGATAAAAGATTCTGTTAGCAGGAAATTTAATCCCAGAGTTCTAGAAGGCCTTTCAAGTTATTAAACCACATACCCTACTAAGAATGAAAATCCAAGCCCCAAGGGCATTTAATCTGAAAACCACCTTTAGAAATGAATACAGAATTCCAAAAGTATACTCCTGCAGCAGTGTAACCATCTAAGAAACTTAACGCCCCTCCAAGATATCTTGGTCTTAACAACAGACTATACATATTAGAATTATCTTTTCCTGAGTGATGTTTCGGGTATTTGAGAATATTATGTTGATGTCCATTTGGGTGAGCATGTCTACTTTGCATGATAAAGCACATAAGCCACTGGCAGAAATTCTGAACATTCCTGTCTTCTACAAAGAATGAAGCAACTGAAGCCTCAGCTGGAAAGCAGAGCTGTGACTAAGCATCTGAATAACGTAAGACACACCAATGAATAATTAACAGATAGCAGTTTTAGTACAGCTATTCATCTCCCACTGTTGAGGGGCAACAGATTCTTCTCTAATTGTATTCACACGATGTCAACTTTCCACCAAGTTCAACCAAGCTTGTTGTGCTGTGTTTCCCCAGTATTGTTTCAAATAAAAAGAACAAATATGAGACAACCAAGCTTCCACCAAACCTTAAATACAGACCTATTTAAGTGAAACCACTTAAAACTGTTGCTTTCATACTGAAGATTATGCTTTTAGCACATCAGGACTCCATTTGAACAAATACACTGGAATCTTAAACAGAAAACAACACATGCTTATAGGGAGGATATACAGAGATTTATTTAATCAGGTTTACTATTTACAGTTGAGATCACTTTCACATACTACTTTGCTACTCTACAAGGCTACATTGTTTCCAAACCAATTTAAGATCTACAGTCTAACAGTTCACTCAACACATAAAACCGCTC